TAGAAGATGCTAATTGAAGCAACATCAGCTGCTGCCTAATTGCACCACTGATGTGGCACTGTATAATAAGCACTGGACTACTAACCACAAGGTTGGTAGTTCAAACCCACCAGCTGCTCCTCATACAGGGTCAATATGAGCCACAACCAACTCAATGACACACAATAACAACTGCACCACTGGCTCTTTACATGCATTCTCATGCTGATGCAGCACTAAGAAGCAAGCACCAATAACAGCTCATTTTACAGATGAGAATCTGAGGCTTGGAGAATGGAAGGGACTTGCTCACAGATAGAAGGTACTGGGCCATGGGATTCAAAGTTAGCTCTGCCTCAAACAGTAAAGTTTGAGTTCTTAACCACTGCCACATTATGCCATGGCATCTGGTGGAAGGGAAGATGAGGGACCAGAGGCCAGTGGCCCTCCAGCCCCTTCAGAGAAGGTGATGTTTCTCTCAGGCTCCCCTGTGCACAGCACAGACTTTCAGATACTCATCTGCGTGGGGCTAGGCTAGTCCTGGTCTGCTCAAACCCACTTCCTCTGGCTTCCACTTGCTTCATCTAACTCTCCTCAATGCATCCTTCTTTCTCCCCTTTGGCATCTTGGTAACCTTCCCTTCTCCATGACTCCACAACCATCGCAGTGTGGGGAGAAAGAACACAGACACTGTGGTCAGGCCCAAGATCAAATCTAAATTAAAAAAAAATCCAGACTTACTGGACTGGTTGAAACTAGAGAACTCCATAAGACTATTGCTCTAAGATAACCTTTAAACCTTGAACCAAAACTATCCCCTGAGGTCACCTTTTAGCTAAATAACAGATTGGCTCACAAAATAAAGGATATCACCTGTGAGTAAAGCACCTCTTTAACAAGTCAACTCTGAGACTAAAAAGTTAAGAATTACCTTAAAACACAGATGGGAAAGGCAGGGAAACCAAGGACCAGAAATGGATATGAGAATGTTCATGCATTATGGAGAATGAAACCAATGTCACTGAAAAACTTGCTTAGAAATTGTTGAATGGGAATCTAATGTGCTGTGTAAACTCTCACCAAAAACAGTTAAAAACAATAACTCTTATTAATTTTTTTTAAAGAAAAAAGACAAATCCAAGTTCTACCACTTACCAGCTGTGTGACCTCAGGTAAGTACCTTAAACCTCACAGAACCTGTCTCTTCATCCATAAAGCCCCAGATGACAAGCCCCACCTCCCTAGGCCTCTGTGAAGGTTAAAGCTGCTGCTCAGCATCCTGTTGATGCTCAGGGTGGCAGCCAATAAAGCACAAGCTCTGTGAGGAGCACAGAGATTCATGTTCCTAGTTTACAGATGAAGCAAGTGAGGTCCAATTTGTCACAAGAATGGTTACCAGTAAATCTGCCTTAGAGCTTCAGAGAAAGTAACTTCTCGAAAACAGTATGGGGTAGGTGCAACCGCTGAGGAAACTGAGGCTCTGAGAATTCAGGACCTCCAGCTTACAAGTGGCAGAGCCGAGGTGGTCTCTCGTCCTTAACCACTGAGTCCTGATGCCTCCCCCACAAGGGAGCTGTGGCCTGTGCAATATTCTGTGGGACTCCCTGCCCGTCCCGCATCCACTGGCTCATCCCCCCTGGGGCTTACCTGGGGCCATCTCGCTGCCAAAGATGAGGGCCTGGGCCCGGGAGGTGGTCAGGCAGTGGCACAGGGCGTCCCGTCGGAGGTTGGTATTGATGAGTGCTGCCTCCACACCCAGTTTGGCCATGCCCAGCCACAAGCCCACAAACTCATTGCGGTTTTCCATGAATAGGGCAGCCACATCACCCGAGGCCAGGCCCTGGGCTTGCAGGAAGTTAGCCACGCTGTTTGAGTAGTCATCCAGCTGGCGGAAGGTCCAGTGGGTATCTGTGCCCTCGAAAATTAGGGCTGTCTTGTCGGGGTGGCGCCGTACCGTAGAGGCAAACAAAATGGGCACCGTCCGTTTCTCTCGCAGGTAATGCCGCACCTTGGCCTTCACCTTCAGGAGCACTAGGCCACCGCTGTGTGGGAGTAAGGGAGCCGTGTCTGCTTGATAAGGAATCCTGGCATCCTGGTCCAGTTTCAATCCTACCAGCCTGAGCCTCATCAGTCAGATCACTTATAACATTCTCCTTTTGGAGCACTTACTAGGTGCCAGGCACTAGCTAAGCCCCATCATGTGTACAGTTTTAATGGTGCCTCATGGTAACTAAAGGAGCTCTGGTTGCGTAGTGGTTACAAATCAGGCAGCTAATCTCACGGTTAGCAGTTCGAAACTACCAGCTGTTCCACGGGAGAAAGATGAGGCTTTCTGCTCCCGTAAAGATTTATAGCCTCAGAATCCCTGTACAGGGTCGTTATGAGTCGGAATCGACTCCACGACACATAACAACAACATAATATACCTTCCCTCTGCCATTCATCGCTAAAGTAAATAAAGGATGAATTTGCCAATTTGTCTTTTTTTCCACCAAGAGCCCAGCAAGATACAAGGTAGAGCTCTGTCCTGTCATCACCTTGTCCCCTGTGCCCTGCTTGGTGCTGGGCACAGGGCACATGTTCAATTAATGTTTGTGGAATCATTTGGCAACATCCGTCTTTCCTCCATACCCCACCCCCACCTTCTAGCCCTTCTGAAACGCCCCTGCTTCCAAAACTCTCTGCCTTTGTTGATGCTGTTCTCTTCCAAGTACAATCACTTTTCCTCAAGGAGACACTCTGACTCTCTGGTCCCCTGGCCTAAAGCCACCTCCCCTTGTTCCACCACACTCCCACAGCTGTGGCCATCCTTCCTGCTGTGGTCACTCAATACCTTGTTCTATAATCGATAGAACAAATCCCTTGCCACCTAGTGTGGGCATGGGACAGTGTCAGGTGTGGAACCCAGTGGTAAGTAAGACCACCAGTGTTTCTTACAGGTTTACTGCATCTCCTTCTTTTCTCCCTGGCCAGTCGGAACTTGGCCCAGGAGCACACCTGCCTGCTTCCTCTCTGTGCCCCAGAACCCAGCTGGGTATCTGGTACAGAGGAGGTGGGAGCACATGGATCTGGTACAGGATGCCCCTGTGGACCATGGCTGGCTTTCTTTTGGTAGCAGGTTCTCCCAGGCATCTGATTCAGGACTCTGCTTTGTCAGTGCCCCTGTGCCCAGAGTCATGCCAACATGAGGGGCAGGGCCTTTCCCATTGGGAACTTCTTCACCCTCTCACAAGCAACCATGTGTCCTTGGAACCTCCTAGAGATGTCCCTGCAACACACTTAGGTGTCTGATGTATGCCCCATGATCCCAAACACACTAGGGAATTCAAGTTAGGGCAATTCCTCAGGAGAAGACCTTGAATATGGAGATTCCTGGTACTGTCAGTGGGTATGAAGCAGAGGTTACTTTTCTGGGGTACCTAAGTGCCTGTGATGACAGAGGCCATGGGGATTGGTCTGGGGATATTTGGGCAATTAGGAGCCCAAGATGGCATGTTAGACCCCAGGAAGGGTTGGACCAGGTACTCACAAGATATCGCGCCTGATGGTCTTGAAAAAGATCCGGATGAAGCGCCAGCCGCCAGACCCCAGATAAAGGAGCAGTAGGGAAAACCCCACCTGGGTCCAGGGCAGTTTCAGCACCAGCTTCGAGAACAGCAGTACACCGACCAGAGACGCCCCAAGCAGCATTGTGGCCTGTGGGTACAGGCTAGTCAGTGTACAAAAACTTCTGGGTTTCTTGGGTCTTCTACATCCTAGCCCAGGCAACTAGACCACTGTCACCTTGGGGTGACAGTCACAATGTGTGGGATGGCTGAGGACAGAAGGCCCTTTCCGGGCATGGCTCCCATGTCTGGCTGGAAGGGACAGGTTAGAGGCATATCCCAGAGGCATGGGACTTGAGGTGAGGAGTTTCAAAGGTGAAAGGGAGGAGGCTGGCTGGGTTCTATTTCCCACTGCTATCTCAGTCTGCCATCCTCTGAGTGACCTTGGACAAAGATCTTTTTCACTTTAGACCTTAGCCTGCCTCTCTGTGCCATGGGTATAGTGAGACTTTCACTCAAAGGTCCAGTCAGAGCAGGGCCGTCTACTCTGCTGGCATTCAGGGTCCCTGCCCAAGGTAGGGATGAAAATTAACTCAATTGCCACGCAGAGACACAGGAGGGTTCTGTGCATGGCCAGGCGAAGCCACAGAACCCAAAGGAGAAGGGGGCCCTCCCTGCCCACAGGCAGAGGGAGTGCCTTGCCTCTACTGGCCAAGAGAGGGCAGCCAAGCAAACAGGTTAGAGCTGGAGGTGCCTGAGAGGTGACCGACCGCCTAGGGGAAAAAAGGTGATATAGAGAGGAAGAGGGCCTAGAAGGCAACCCCACATCCTTAACTAACAGCTCAGCCAATTAGTTGAGGGAAAAGGACCTGGTGACTGGGCCTCTCAGGAGCTGGCCTGAGATTAGGACTATACAGCTCAATTCCTGGTGATCAGCAGATTTGATCAAAGCAAATAGGACTCAGTTTTCCTTCAGGCTCTTCTCTTCGTGGGGAGGGCATGAAGGTCACAGCTGTGAAGCAGGCTGAGGGTCTCCAGACCAGGATGAGGACATGGTACAGAACAGAGGTAGCCCTTACAAATAGACCCCTCTACTCCCCACGAAAAGCCAAAACCTGTGGGGATGACAGGGCCCCGACCCCAATGCCTCGATCTCCAAGGTCCTTGGACCTTTGAACCTCCCAGAGTCCACCAGGGCAGAGGGCAAGAATCTGTCACGGAAGGCCAGAGGATGGAGCGGGGAAGGGAGGGGAGAAGGTGTCCAATTCCCTTGGGCCCTGTCCTGGGTCTTGCGGACGCCCTTTTGCCCTTACATAGCCAAAGTAAGGAAGCGCCCGGGTGGAGACAGGGCGCGCCCCCCACCCGAAACTGGCCCCACCACTCCCCCGCCCGGGGACTTGCTGACCCCGCCTGAGCTCACCCGGCGTCGGCCCCGCAGCGCGGTGCCCTATCCAGATGTGGCCCGGCTGCGGTAGCGGAGTGGGGAGCGCGGGGGGCATCAGCCGCTCCTAAGCGCACAGAGCCGGGTCTCAGCAGCGCTCCGCCGCCTCTGAGCCCTGCATGGCCCGGCCACCCAGCCAGCCCCACCCGCCGCTCGACCCCGCCCGCTCGGCCGCCACGCTCCTCCCCCGCCCGCCTCCCGCAAACCAAACCGGCTACGCGGGCAGGCAACACAGCCTCCACCGCCTTCCCTGCAGCCAGCGCGCCCCAGAGTCCGCAGCGCAGCGCAGCCCCAGCGCCGCCCGACGCCGCTGGTCCTCAATCAGCCCTGCGTGAGGGTCAGTCATGGGCGGTGCCAACCACGCAGCACCCTGGGAGTTGTAGTCCTCACATGCTCAGCCCCGCCTAGCTGCGGAACGCCCCAGCTCTCCCCGCCAGCATACTCCGCACCTGCAAGCCGCGAGGAGAATCCTGGTGGCCTCTGCTCAATTCTTCCTTCTCCCCACCCCACCCCCAGTCTCCGGGTCTCCGAGATGAGGGAAGAAGGCACCCCCATCCACATTGTCAGCCGATGATCCGCAGCCTGTACTTCAATGCAGGGTAGTTTCGCATAGGCCCAATACTCCCCCGGAAAGAGCGCTATTTAGGCGGATAGAAGTACCGGGGGTCGCGCCTCGGCCGCACTGGACTCCTAACGTGAACCTGTGAGTATGGATCGGAGTCCCACCAGAGTCTAATTTTGACGGCTCTTCCTTAACTCCCATCGGACATTTTATGGCCTTCAGTCCCTATTAATAATAGTTCAAACAAACAAACACCTTTTAAGGCTCGAAAGATCCGAACCTGAGGCTCTCCCAACCTGAGGCTGCTTTCTCCTTGGGTATTATGGCTCAACAACTCGGGATGTTGTGCACTGTAAGGATCGGCTCTGCTTCCAGAATGGCAATAAACTTAGAGCCTTTAGGTTACTGCTTATGAATACTGCCCCATCCCTGGTATCTCGTAAACAGCCTGGCACACCTGGCAACAGTTTGAGGCAGTACAAAGGGCATTGGTCAGAACTGTAAAAACTTGGGCCTCTGATCACTCTACTCTATGCCCTACAGCATTTCAGTCTCTAAGCCCTGGGCACTAGGCCAATATCCCAGCCCTTTGGAGTTCCGAGCTAATGATTCCCCCATAACCAAAAATGTTGGACATTGCATAGTTACCATTTGTCTTTAAATAATTACCAGTTGCCATGAACCAATTCTAACGCATGGTGATTTCATGTATGCCAGAGTAGAATTGTGCTTCATAGGAAGTAGATCTATCTGACCTTTCTTTTGAGGTACAAATGGTGAACTTGTACCTCCAACTTTTAGCAGTTGAGCATTTACAGCCACCACGGACTGTCTTTAATAGATGTGCTTAAATCTCTTGCTGGATGGTCCACTGGAAATCTTTAAGAGAGTAGGAGAGAAGAGGCAATTTCAAGGTCTATTCATAAGGATTTAAGGTGAAATCTTGGACTGATGAGGATTTGGTTTTCTTTTAGAGCATAGGGTGCATCCTTATGGAGGACCTGAGTAAATTAAGACACCACCTTCCCTGTGGGTGTCACATTCAGGAAGCAATATGATGCAGTGGTTGTGAGCGTAGACATTGACATCCTACACACTTAGGTTCAACTTCTTAGTTGAAAGTTCAAAGTTCCAGTTTCCTCTGATACTCATATATAAAGATGGAGACATATTAGCGGTGCTTACAGGGTTGGTATGAAGATTCACAGGGAGAATTCAAAGTAGTACTTGAATATTTATTACTTGAGGTATTTAATATTGTAGCTTACAGACTTGTCTGTCTCTTTGGTCATGGTCAATATCTAGACTTGGAGAATCTCTCTGTATCTACAGGATTTAGCAAATAGCAGAAGTTTAATAAGGAGTCCTGCTGTGGGACTGTAGGATAAGCACTGGACCGCAAGATGGGTTTGAACCACAAGGTCAGTGGTTCAAATTCACCATCCACTCCTCAGAAACCCTATACAGTGTCGCTGAGTCAGTACTAACTCAATGACACTTAAAAATAACAATAAAAAAGTTTAATAAATGCTTGTTGAATGAAGACAGAAAAGAAAAAAAAAAAGTGAATCAGATGCTCTAACTTTAGCCACACCAGAATCCATGGCTGTATGATTATTTCTACACTAACTGTTAAGAACCAGACAAAAAGTGGACAAGGAAGAACATAGGGGAGGGTGGCGATCACCAGCCCTCCTGCTCTCCTCCACCTGGACTGATCACACTGGTGAAACCAAGGCAGGACTAGACACTGGGCCAGACCTAAGGAGGCAGAGCAAGGAAACCCAGAGGGAACAAAATAGCTCCCTTCAGATTGTTAAGTCATCCCCTTTTATGGCTGAAACTTAAACGGGACTAACTGGTGAGCAGTCTGGTATGCTCCATGGTGACCATTTGGATCTACTTGTGAGTAGAAGTGGGGAAAATGCAGCAATGAAGACATGGGCTGAGTTTAGCCATATTCCATTGACATCATTGACCTTGAGATGAGAGAAAGAAGAGGCAGGCCTGGCTGGTCTGAAGTTTAGGAAGATGTGTGAATTCCTGAGTCCATGGGCACAGACCTAGGCTCTGGGGGCTAGGGCTGAGAGTGAAGTGGCCAGCTGGTCTAAAATGCAGAGAGGTGTATGTGAACTCCCTGACTTGCTGTGCGTACCCATTTGACCTGGCTTGGATGGCTAGCTGACCAGAACTCCACCTGATGAAGATAAAGATGTTTGATACTGTGAGCAAGTGTAAATTGCTACAATTTGATGAACTGGACTTTTGCTTATGGATGCAATTGTTCAAAATTCCAACCAGAATGGAAGGATTCTTCAAAGCAAGCAACAAGCTTGTTTCCTCAGTATACTGGGTTGATTGTTGTTAAGTCCCGTTGAGTTGGCTCCGACCCATAGTCACCCTGTCTGTATAGGATTTCCTAGGAGTGGCTGGTAAACTTGAACCGCCATCCTTTCAGTTCAAAGGACTTTGCAGTTCAGCACATTAACCCACAGTGCTACACCAGGATTCCAACTGGATTAATAGGGACAGGCAATTAAGTGGGGAGTAATCTTTCATTTCAATAACATGATCCCAGAACCATCAAAAAGGAAGAGCATGAGTGGAGTGTGAGATCCCTACCCAGAAAAGCAGCTACAGCAGAGATGGTGGCCTGGAGACAGAGCAGCTGCAGGCTCTGTGCCCAGGGACTGAGTAAGGCTTTGTGCCTGTGGGTAGGAGCTGAATTGAATATGTGTGCCCTTTGGGCATTTAGGTGTATATTTTTTATTTTGTATGTGTACATCAAATATTTCTTTTTTGTTCATTTGTGAAATATGTCAGTGGGGAACCATAGGGAATAACTGTAGGATAACTGTTATTGAAGGGAAGGGATTGTAATCATTGAGATGAAACAAAATGTGTAATGTGTTGAATGTATATTGGTGATCTTGTCTGTAAAACTTCACTCAATTCATAATTAAAAGTAAAATAAATAAAGCTAAACATGCTCATTAAAAAAAATGTTAAGAGTACATCTACATGAAGAGACCAGCATTAACATGTTGTTGTTGTTGTTAAGTGCCGTCGAGTTGGTTCCGACCCATAGCGACCCTGTACAGGGTTTCCGAGGGTGTAAATCTTTACGGGAGTAGAAAGCCTCATCTTTCTCCCGCGGAGCGGCTGGTAGTTTCGAACCGCTGACCTTAAGGTTCGCTTGAAAAATTAGACTTCTATGTTGTCCCTCATCAAGTGCTTACCTTCTTCCTATCATAAAGCTCACCAAATTTTATAATTGTCTTTGCTTTTCAGTTAGATCTGAATTGCACCTCTGATCCCAGCTGTGAGACTTCTCCCCATGAAATGTGTCTTTATCTGTAGAATGGGACTACAGTCATCATGGTCCCTGCCTCTTAAGGTTGAATAAGGGAACAGTGTCAAGCTCTCAGCTAGCACAACGGCCCAATTCCCAGGTAACAGGGATAGAGCTGTCTTCATCACTGCTGAACTTCCAACATCTGCATATGGTAAGCACACATAGAAAATATTTGTGAAATTACTGAAGTGGACTTTTAAGATACATAGAGGGGATAGCTTGTCTGTTTTGTTTTGAGTTGTGTTTTCCTTCTATTAAACTATTCTGGTCTGTTTTGACATACACACACACAAAAAGATACATAGAGGGGAGAGCTATGTGGTGGGAAAGAAAGGCAATTGGAAAGGCCTTTGTGTGCCAGACAGAGTAGTTTATCCTGGCATGGGGAGAAGAGCAATGAACAACAACTGAGGGTTTTTAAGGGCAGGGGCTGGGTCCTGGCTGGGACAGGCCTAGCTTAGGCTGATTTCACAGTAGCCTCCTTTCCACTGACATAACCCCATCTGCATTGCGTTAGAGAACTGACATCAGCACTTAGGTTTCCAGAATTATCAGAAGCTGACATTTGGATTAACTTGAAGGAACCTCCCCAGGGATTGAAGTGGTTTGGCCCCTGGCCCACAATAGGTACTTAACCCATAGATATTTGACTCTGTTGGCGTTAGGAACTCTGAGATGTTTTGGTCCCAGCACTCTGGGTGTGTGCAAAATAAATACCTCTGGCTTGACTTTACACACATGACTTCAGAGGCCTCGAAGGGCCTTCTTGATAAACCACACTTTCCATTTCCTATATGATTACCACTCAACACTGCTCACACACACACCTGATTCTGCTGAGCCTCACAGTGGCTGTTGTGAGGTGGATATATAGCTGCTTAATGTCCATGATATGTTCTGTGAAATAGGACATTATGTGATTAGGTCATTGTGTGAACATCATACTATACACAAGCAGTCCCTGGATTTCAAATGAGTTCTGCTCCTAAATCTGCCTTTAAATCAAATTTGTATGCAAATAGGAAGTTAGGTACTATTCGTATGTAACAACAGTCAGTCATATGCTTGTCTTAGTATATAGTGTACCTTTCTATAAACAAAAAAAAGCCCATGAAAGTAACACTTCCAGATACACTAAAACCTCTTTAACATAATACAGTAATACTGTTTTCATGCATGCTGCAGAGTAACATCTGTTTGTTATTAAGTTGTATATATCTTGAATTTTTAATGTAATAGGCTTTACAAGGGTTGGGACCACTGATGTGTGTGGTCAGATGTTGCCCAAATGTATGTTGTGTGGCACATGACTGTATTACTCTCCTACTTTACCGAAGACTGGCTCAGAGAGTGATGTGATGACTACAAGGGTGCACAGCTGGTCAGTGATAGGGCCCACACCCCCAAACACTACTCTGGAATTAGCTCCTCTGGTTTGTATCAGGCATAGTGGGTAAGGAGACTTTCCTTCAGCTACTAGGATAGGACTTAAGACCTGTGTGTCTCAGAGCAGGGTCTACCACATCCCAGCTGGCTGACTCCAGGAGGACCCCTGGACCTGAGACCAGGGTCTTCACTATGCCATGAGGTTCCCAGCAACCTCGGCTCCAGGGTTTGTGGACTTTGAGCAAGAGCTTGTTGGTGGAGCGCTCAGTGCAGGGTTTGGCATCCATTCCCCCATTGGCTGACTGAGTCCCTACTGTGTGCAGGGAGGAAGAGAAAGGCCCCTGCCCTCCTTGAACAAATCTGCCTAAGTGGACCAGCTGAGAATTTGAATCTAGGTCTCCCCAATTTCAGACCAGAGAAGATGGAACAAGAAGCTGAAGCTCAGGTTGGGAGGGGAATTTCTGCCCCCAGTGCTGGGAAGACCCAAGGCTGCAAGAATCCTGGGCATCAGCAAACTCAAGAGGGAAAAGGGAAAATCCAATATTTGATCTGGTAGGAGCCTTTATTCAGACAACAGAGATCTGTATGCCCTTTTCAGGTCTTTGGAATTGGATGTATCCCTCACTCCCATGGGGATATCCCAGCCTGACCCCCAGAAAATTCTGAGGGAAGGATCCAACCAGACCCCTGGGTTGTAGACCTGAAATATCCCAGTGTGAGTCTAGCCAACCCATCCTTGTTTGAGTGTGGTTTTCCTTGGATGGGTCTTGGCTCCCCTGGGAGCCCCACTACAATAATTGGCTTCGTCCTGGGTTGGCCCTTTAGGCTACTCAGTGTTGATCATGCCAAAGTATAAGTGATATCCAAGGGTCAGTGTTCAAAGAAAAGGAACAATAGTAGTGGCAAAGGAGTCCTCTGTCCCCATAGGACATGGAGATGGCCGGGGTGGGGGTAGGGGAAGACCAGGACCTCGGGGCTCACTCCAAGCCTTTCAGGTCCATGGGGGTGATGCCCAGCTCCTCCTGCAGAGCCCTCAGGGGCTGCTCCCAACGCCGCTCGTAGTACAGGTTGAGGACACATGGGGCTCTGTGCCCATTCTGAACTGCCCATGGAATCAGCTCAGAGACTAGCACTTTCAGGTTTCTGTGGAACAGCAGAGAAAGAAAACACAAGGTCCTTGAGAGTGTAGCACTTTATGTGTGGCACACTTGACATGCATTTTCTCAGTGAGAATCTCAGGATTCTCACACAGACCTATGAAAAGTTCTTATTCCCACTTTTCAGATAAGAAAATGGAAGCTCAGAGAGGTACAATCCTATAATCCTGTGCCCACCTTGAGCATGCCAAAGCCCAGAAGTTGAGGGTGATCTAACTTCAAAAATTGAAACTGCATTTCCTTCCCATTGTTTCTAGTCAGTCAGATCCCTGCTTTGAGGCCTGACTAGGATCTTAGGAGCTGTACAGGCTTCCATCATTTTCCTGCTTCACAACTCCTCCCTCTCTTTCTACTGTTGCTTCCTGGAGAGCCATCAGGGCTGTTCAGGGGCCTGTGAGCTCTTCCCATTTCCTGGACCCCTGAACCCTGGCCACTTGAGAACTTACTTGGCACTGAGTCGGATTGGTCCAAAAAGCGCACCTAGGATGCACATGGGCAGGCCAGTCTGGACTGCCTCAAACCATTTCACCACGATCTCCCCTAGGAGACAGGGGTGGGAGGGAATCAGAACAGGACCGGCACCAGCAAACCTGAAAGGCAGTGAGTAGGGACCAGGAGAGGCCAGTGGTGCTCTCATCAGGGCAAAGGTGTCTGATCCTCTTTAACCATGCCTATGGGTCAACCCTGGCCTGTGCTGGGCCCTGGGGCACTCAACTGAGGGTGGAGGAGAGGCCCCAAGAAAGAGGAGAAGGAAACAGGGCTGAAATAGGAGCTTAGGGTCAGAATGCAGAGGACCCAAAAAGGCAGGCAGTGTTTCCTTCAGGCCTTAGGGAGTTGTTGAGGGTCTCAGAGCATGGGGGCTGCTACATGAGTGTAAGCCATCAAGTGGTAATGAGGATAGACATGACAGGATGCATGCCAGACAGGCTACCAGGGTGTTCGTGTAAAGCAGCCAGTGAGCCATCACTAAGCCAGTTAATTGATAGGTGGCGGAGACAGGTGAGCCTGGCCCTGAGCCTGAAGACAGACCCAGGAAGACAGGCTAGCTGGTGTGCCCCACCCTGCCCACCTGCTACCTGAGGCAGCTGGCTTGGCGGCACTCACCCAGGATGTTGGTGGGCATCCCCAGGAGTGTGTGGACCATGTCATGCACTTCCCGGTACCGCTGGATCACATATGCTAGCTCCTCATCGTCCACGAAGCGGGTGGGTGCTCGGGTATCTGGGGAGACACTCTGACAACCACGAGACACCCCTAAGCCCCTTCCCTACTCATAGTTCCCAGGGCCCAATATCCCAGCCTTTCCTCAACTCTGTCAGCCAGTCCCACTAGACTCACATCAAGCCAAAGAACCCTTGGGTAGTCCTTGGGCAGAATATGTAGTGGGATTAGCTCTGCTCTTAGCCTACTCAACTCACCCATATTTATAGTCTATTAGCTTCTATGAAGCCTTGGTGGTACTGTGAAATAAAAACTGGACTGCTAACCACAAGGTCAACAGTTCAAAACCAACAGCTGCACCATGGCAGAAAATAAGGCTATCTTCTCCTGTAAAGATAAACAGCCTCAGAAACCCTATATAGGGGTCACCAAGAATTGAAATAGACTCAATGGCAGTGTTTTGGGATTCTATGGAAATACAGCCTTAAGGTTTCTGATCCTTAGCACAGCTGCTCCCAGTGTGGGATCCTTTCTCTTACTAACCCCATCTTCACGTGACAATTCCTACCCACCTTATGACCCAGCTTCAGTGTCCCTGCCTCAGAGAGGCCCTCCCTGCCCTTCACACTGATTGGGTCTAATATGGTCTCTTGTAGCATCCTGTACCTCTCTGGCACTCAAGATCATGATCATACTTAATGCATGTGATTATAAATGTCTGTTTTGAGGGAGGCTGTGCTGATGTAGCACAGTGGCTGCTTGCCATTGAACCTTGAAATATTACAACTGAGATGTGATATGCATGTTAAACACACATCAGATTCCCAAGACTTAGTATTATATGTTGAAATGATAATAATTTAGACATACTGGGTTAAATAAAATATATTAATATTAATTCACTTGTTTTTTGTTGCTTTTATTAATGTGGCCTGTGTTCTATGGCTGGTGCTCCAATTGACTGTCAGCTGCACCAGAGCTTTCAGTTGTATCTCCAATGCCTGCGATAGGTCCCCCTGAGTAAGTATCTCTTGAATGCATGAATGAAGACTGGCCCTGGGATATTTTCTCACCCCAGGGAGGAATGCCAACTGTCCTTTTACCTACTCACTGCCTCCTGAGTCCTCAGCAGCACCCATACAGCACAGGAACAGCCCGGTCTTCCTGTTCCCAAAACGTGGCCTCAGCCAGTCCAGAGCGGAGAGATCTGATGTCTTCATTTGCTGTAAGGCTACTGACTCATTGCCAAGGTCTGCCTGGGCCTCACTAGGTCTCAGATCCTACTTTCCTCTGTAAAGTTCTATTTGTGAAGCTAAAGATCTGTCATGGATAGAACTGTGATGGACAGAACTGTGTCCCCAAAAACTGGTTGTAAATCCTCTACATATATATCCATGGTCATATCCCATTTGAGAATGGGTTTTGTTATATCAAGAGACAGTAATAGTGTAGGGTGTGTCTTAAGTCAATCTCTTTTGACACGTAAAAGATTAAACAAGCAAATAAGCAAGCAGAGATGGAAGAACAGAGATGCTAAGCCACATGAAGATTGCTCAGGAGCAGCTCAAAAGACAAAAGGACCTTTCTACCGAGAAAACAGAAAGGAAACCTCTTAGAACTACAGCTCTGAATTCAGACTTCTAGCTTCCTCAACTCTGAGAAAAGAAATTTATTAAAGCTATCTATCCATTTGGTATTTCAGTTATAGCAGCACTGGATAACAAAGCCATGCTCATCATCATAGTAGCTGTTTGTTGAGTGCCTACTTTGTGCCTGCACTGTATGTTCTTGACCTCTATTATCACACTTCATCTCTGTGACAATCTGTTACTTAGCCTCAGATACAGGTCAGAACAATGAGGTTCAGAGAGATAAAAGAACTTGCCCAAGAGCCTGTAGTTAATAAAGTGGCAGAGGCAAGATTTGAAACAGTCTGGAATGCAAAGCCAGTAACCTTACCATTCATTATTGAAAATGTTCAAGAGACCTAAACTCTGAAAGATGAATGTAGGTCCCTTTATTTCACATGAGGACTGTGAGGCTCAAAGAGGTCACATGATTTGCCCAGCACCATAAAGCTAACTTAGGCTATGGCAGTAATCTTGATGCCATCAGGATGACAACACCTCTTACCAGTGTCAATCTTAGGGAGGGTGGCTTCACTTTGAACCTTGATATAAATCTCTTGGGACAAAGGTATCCCTTCAAATTCTGTGGGCTGCTGCTTCCCTTGCTCTGGTGTCATAGTCTCCAAGGCTGTTAACCACAATTACGGTTGTGTCTGGGCAAGGTGCCCAGGGCGACCCTGCAGTTGCCTCTCTAATACCCTCTTTCCTCTACAGCAAAATAAAGGCTTTGGGGGAACTTCAATAGAAGGTTGTCCCTCCCCAGCGTGGTACCTGGGCACATCACTCTGGTAGGTTTCCCAATGATGAAGTAACTTGATTCCTAGTAAAATATAAGGGAGATTACATAAAATATGGCATGGAGTTGCCCTGCCAAAGCAGCAGTATTGGGGGAATGTGGGGAAGTAAGTTATGGGTCCTGGCATCATCAACATAGAGCAGTGGTTCTCAACTGTCCACCATGGAACATCGGCGATGTCAGGAGACATTTTTAGTTCTCACCAACTTAGTGATGACATCACTGGCATCTGGTAAGTAGAGATCAAGGATGCTTCTAAATATCTTAGAGTGCATGAACAATAAATAATTATCTAGCCCAACATGCTGTCAGTGCCAAGGGAGAGGAACCTAATTCTAGAGCAACCTTTGGTCATTGCTTTTACCTCTTCTGGCCTGACTGGCTCCTGGAGCTGACCAAAGGTCAGCTTTGATGGGGTGTGTATGTGTTGATGGTACAAATGGTTTGTGATCAACTGCTAATTTAAAGTTGGCACTTTGAACCTATCCAGCAGTACCGCACAGTGGTTCTGTAGAATAAGCACTAGACTTCAAACCGTAAGGCTGACAGTTGAAGCCCACCAGCTTCTCTGTGGGAGAAAGATGAGGCTTTCTGCTCAAAATTTAGAGTCTCAGAAACCCTATACAGGCTCACTATGAGTTGGAACTGACTTGACAGCACTTAAAAGCAGAAAAAGCAGCACCATAGAAGAAAGCTTGACAAGCTCTCTTCTGCAAAGATTATAGCCAAGAAAAGTCTATAGAGCTGTTCTACTTTGTGACACACATGGGGTCTCCATGAGTCAGCAATGATTTGATGACAGTGAGTTTGGGATTTGTATGTGCTGGGGGTAGGTTGGGAGTAGATAGAGAAGGTGGTCCAGCTGTATCTTAAGGTCCTGTTATAAATCAGATCATGACTAAAACCCTCCAATAGCTTTCTACTGCTCCTATTACAATACAGAGACTCCTTCCTGAGGTCTGGAAGACCTGGCTCTGGGTAAGTCTCAGCTCATTTGCTGCTTTCCCACCACCCACTCTTCTAAAACCACACTGACTGGTTTCCCGTTTCTGAAATACATAGCATCTTGCCATGCCCTCCATTCAAAACCTAGACCACTCTTCCCTAGCTGACTACAAGGTTGGCTGGCCCGTTGCTGTCTTCCAGCTCTTCTTCTTAGAGGGGCCTTCCCTGACTGCCATAGCACACCAAAGTGGACACCCACCAAAAACTTGTTTTCTTCATAGCACCTATCTACAAGAACATAAGCTCCACAAGGGTAGGGTTTTTTTCTGGTTTTATCCACAATATACTAATAGAATACATTTTAAGTATTCACTATTTTGCCTGAATTTTTATATGAAATTAAAAATTATGAATTTTTATATGAAATGAAAATTTTTCTTAGTTATTGTCTGCCTCCCCAAATAGCCCCAAATAGACTAGAAGCTCCATGAGGGGAGGGCCCTTGTCTGGCTAGTTGGTCCCTAGAACTCTATTAGCACCTTACACAGATAATGACTAAATAAACACATTCCTCATAGTTGGGAACCCCTATCCCTATTCTCCCAGCTTGGTGCTTAAGAAGGCCACAATTGATGTACCCTAGGGAAAACATCATCTCTTGCACTGGGAGATTTGGTACAGTAGCTAAGAGCAAAGTGTGAGTTTCAATAATTGCCTCCGTTACTACTGGCTGTATGCAATCAGCTTATTACTTAACTGCTCAGAGTCACATAGTACAAGAAGAAGAAAACATACCTGACAGATGGAGGAAGATTCATTGAGATATCATATATGAGTCTGGCAGGTAGCAAGAGGTTAATAAACACTAACCACCATTATCACTCTTTTGGCTTCTAACACTCCAGTGATGTTCCTAGACCACTTGCCTATCCTATAGAAAATGACAAAGCCCTGGCACAAGAGATTGAAAAGCTCTCTTGCCCATGGAAGAAGCTCAGGGCTCCTTGTTCCTTGATATGGAATTCTTAGACAACCCTTCTGCTCTTCCTGCTGATGGCCAGAAGCTGGACACTCACATTCATATCCAGGAAACGGAGATACTCGCGGCCAAAGGAGCCCTCAGGCAGGCTCTCCAGCTTGTTCAGGTCAAGGGTGGACAGTGAGATCCGGGGACGCTCCCTGTAAGGCCAAAGGCAGAACTTGGGTACTTGAGAGTCCCCAGTAAAGGCAAGTGAAAATCTAACTAAAATAAAGTGGTGAGGAATAGGGAGCAGAGGGCAATGAGGCCACACATCCTGGAGCATCTCCACCTTGTAAGACCAGTGGCAGGAACAGAGGGGATTACCATAAGCTATGGGGCAGGGGCATGATCCAGGCAGGAAAGCACACAGATGTGATTAGGGTACTTACAAAGGGTAGCTGGCCTGTGTTATGGGAGCTTGTTAAGTGCCGTTGAGTCGGTTCCAACTCATAGCGACCCTATATAGGATTTCCAAGGAGCAGCTGGTGAATTTGAACAGAGCCCTGTGGCTGAAACTGGGCCAAAGCCACTACAGTGCAAACCCAGAGGTCATCATAGTATCTAGGAAAATGGCACTGCAGGGCCTAGCCTGGGTATCAAGAAGAGCTCCCTAGAGGAACAGGGCTGACACAATGTAACTCTCCTAGGCAGAGCTGGGACCTACTGCAGAATCTGGGCACCCTCTGGATCCCTTCTCATCTGGTCCCTGAGGGCCTCCAGGGCGCGGTGTCCGGTGGTCTCTCCTAGAACTGCAACCATGTCTGAAAGAACAGGAATGGACACAAATGATAGATGTGAGCTTGGGTGAGTAACCTGTGCTGACCTTCGCCTTAGTTTCCTACATGGTAAAATATGGATAATATCAACCTTAGTTGTAAAGATTCATGTTGAATATTCAGCACACAGCAAGGACTTAATACAGCAATATTATTAATATATCAATGTTATTATTATGAACAATAATCTACTGGCTCGATGGCACTTAACAACAACAACAACAACAATCTACTGGCGGGTGACCTTGGTTAGCAGAGCACTTTGTTATTGTTAAGTGCCATAGAGTCACTTGCAACTCATAGTGACTCCATATAGTGCTTTCAAGGCTGTAAATCTTTGCAGGAGCGGAAAACCTCATCTTTCTCCCATGGAGTGGCTTGAGGGCTTGTGCTGGCAATCTTGTGGTTTGAAGTCCAGTGCTTATTCTACAGAGATCCTTGCAAAGCACTTAGAGCTTATAAATTACTTGTATATCCTTATGACAACAGAATATCTAGTCAACCTTTGAAGGCAAAAGCTGCATTGATAGTTACAGGCTTTGACATCAGAGTGTTGGGTTTGAGGCCAGATTCTGTCACTTGTATCTAGGTGACCCCGTGTGCAAATTGCACTACATTCCTAAGCCTCAGTGCCCTAAACACATAACAAGTACAGATAACACTTTTCTTATAAGGTTGATGTGTGAAACCCAAAAGCTTGCAGGTAAAACAGCACAGTGAGCACTAAAACAAATACTCATGGGGCAGTTCATATTATTTTTGTAGGATCAATAGTACTTCCTATACTAAAGAATCCTGGGAGGGATAAGAAAGGCAATGTAGAATCCTAGGAAGTTCTACTCAACTCATTCAGCAAACATTTACTGAGCTTGCACTATGCACCAAGTGATATCAGAGTCAGAGTCCTTGACTTACTTTATAACAGGATGCTATAAGTGGATATAGCCAATTGTCTTAGGGTGGATTCCAACTTGTTGCAATCCCATGTGTGTCAGAGTCAAACTGTGCTCCACAGGGTTTTCAATGGCTGAGTTTTCAGAAGTAGACCACCAGGCCTTTCTTCTGAGGTACCTCGGGGGTGTATGGAACTTCCAGCCCTTCTGTTAACAATCAAGCATGTTAACCATTTGCACCCACGGTCTCCTACAGTTGATGAATGAGTGGGTACTTACAAATCATCTCTTTGGTCCACAAGTTTTCAATGTGGCTGATGACAGAATCTCCCAGGAAGTAGTTTTAAAAAGCAGATGGCCAGGTTCCACGCTTCCTCTCTCCTTGCTCTACCAGGCAGATTCGGATTCAAGGGAGTTTAGAGTTGGACCTAGGCTCTGCATTTTTATAAACGTTCCTGTTGCTTATACGGCTCATTTACATTTGGGTACCCTGCTAATCTGTTCTCCAGTTGACCATGGGAAACTGAAGCTTTGACAGAGGTCGTGACCTTCCTAGGCATCCAAGATAACAGTGCGCGCCCCGACTCCTCGCCCACAGGGTGCAGGCAACCTTACCATGGCGGTATGGGTTGTAAAGCGCCATTCCAGCAGAACCGGCTGTCAGTAGCACCTTCTGTAGTAGGGAAGTGGGGATATGGTCAGGATAGAGCAGGCCAGCGCCATGGCTCCCGGCACGGAAGGGCACATCTGCGGGACAAGAAAAAGGCTCAGATCAGAGGAGCCGGGTGCTCCCAGAACTCCACTTCGCTTTCGCCTAAAATCCGGCGCCACTTGCCTGTTGCAGGCCGGGGGAGGTGTCGTACGGAACCTAAGGCCAGGCGCATCAGTGTCGCCATAGCAGCAGGTATGTCCGCACGTCCAGGTAAGGCTGACGCCCAAAATTTCTCTGGCGACGGAGTGCTGGAGAAGTCAAACGGGCTCGACCCCGACTTCGCTCCTTTTGCCCTCTTGAGGGGATCGATCGTGGCACAGACAGGAAACAGGCTAACTATAAAACTCAGAAGACTTGTTATCAAACTGTTTACTTCCACAAATACAAGAGTCTCCCCACTTCACCTCACTCTCAAAAAGGGTCTCCATGAAAAAAGTAAGCCTCACTAACTTTGGCTTCCAACGTCGGCCCGTACATAATTCTTCGTAGCATCTTTCCCCCCGGAGTCAATAAGAATAAATCACTTCCGGTGCGAAACATGGCACCCATTGTAAGGACCACATTTAGGAACGGACCGTACGGCATTTCCGTTCAGGTCCTAGCTTTTCGGGGATTCTGGGCTGTAGGCGGTAGGGATGGGGTCAGCAGGTCTGGCTAGACTGCATGGGCTTTTCGCGACCTACAAACCCCCAGGGCTAAAATGGGAACACTTGCGGAACACCGTGGAGATGCAGCTTTTGAAGGGTGAGTGCTTCGAATTAAGACCCACGATTCTACTCCTTTTCTCCTGGGGCCCGTTTCCGCTTCTGTTTCCTCGTGTTTAGTCATGTGACTCACTTGTCTGACCTGAGTACCTTCCTAATCATCTGTTCTTTGTATTCCGTTTGTTATGTCTCATTTTCTCCTATTTTCAGATGGAGAAACTGAGGCTCAGAAAGTTTAAGCATTGCTCATTGTCATACAGTTTATTAGTAGCATAGTCAGTATTTGAACCAAAATCGTCTGCCTCTATAAACTATCACTATTCTATTCTCTACACCGTGGGCGTCTCATTTGTCTTTTACATCACCGTGTTTCCCTACCATTCCCTTCCCCTTTCGTCATCATGGTGTCTCCTCCCCACCCAGCTCACCCCACCGTGGTTTGTTACAGTTGACAAGATGGTCTTTACCTGTGTGTGCTCAGGTCTCAATGCTGGGAAGCCTCCTGCCCCTGAACAGCGTGTTCGCTTCTTGCTGGGCCGGGTGGAAGACAGTAAGGAGAAGGAACTGACCCTCACGGCCACTAGTGTGCCTGCCCTCACCAACCATCCACTGGGTAAAGCAAATTGGGGCGGGGTCCTGGGTGTCACTTCCAGAAAATTCCTGAACCGAGTCAGTATCTCTGGGCTCAGTTTTTATCTCTAGCTCTTGAAAGGACACAGTGGGGATAAAATATTAGACTAGAAGTTGGCAGACTTTTTCTGGAAAAGGTCAGATGGTAAATATTGTAGACTTTGTGAGCCATGTGGTTGGTCTCTTGTACCTAATAAATTCTGTCATTGTGCTAAAACAGCCAGAGATAATGGGTGAGCCTGGCTGTATTCCAGTAAACCTTTAAAGACACTGACATTTGAATTTCATAAAATAGTCACACACAACAAAATATTTTTCTGTTGATTTTTTTTTTTTTTCCTTAACCTTTCAGAAATATAAGAACTATTCTTAGTTTGCAAGCCATTTGGGATAAAAACAAAACAAAAACCAACAGGCTTGTAGATTTGACCTGTGGACTTTTAATTTGCTACCCCTCAGGAGTCCTGGTGTGGCACTGTGGGTTAATGTGCCTGACTGCAAAGCTGTTTAAACTGCAAGGTTGGCGGTTCGAGCTCACCAGCTGCTCCTTGGAAACCCTATATAGGTTCACTATGAGTCGGAACTGACTCAATGGCACTTAACAACAACAACAACCCCTTTACTATTTGGGAATAGTGGAAATCAGGGTTTCTGATAAAGAGTGACTTTTCAGCCTTTGTTTAGCCAGCTTCTCAACAACGGAACTGGTGTAGTCCCCTGTGAGTTTAGGTGATTAAGGCATTTGTCAGGAAGGCTATCTAGGAAGAACTCAACTAGAAATCTCTAAAACCCCTACCACTGGTTATAACGCATGTAATTTATCAAGTACTCATTCTGGCCTAGGCCTTGTCTTACGCTTTTCTCAAATACGACCTCACTGATTCTGCACTACAGTTCTGAGATGTCCTATTCTCATTTCAGGAATGAGGAAACTGAGGCTCAGCATGGATCTTAAGTAATAGAGCCTGGATTCAGTAGGCTATTAACCACTCCTGATCTTCCTGTAGATTTCGCTTATCTATAGAAATATAAACACTTATAACTCATTCCTGCATTCATTGGTTCAGTAGTTATTTTCTGAACAGCTGGTGAGTTCTGGACTCTAAGGATAGAACTGTGGATGGATAAACAGACCCTGGTCTTGATTTATGGAGCTCATAGCTTTAGATTAGGGGTGGGGAATGCCTGGCCTTTGGGCCATATGAGGGCCAAATAAAATGGCAACCATAGTTCCACCTATCATATTGTTCTTGTTGTAAAGTACAGCGGAGTCGGTTCCAACTCATAGTGACCCTGCACAGGGTTTCCGAGGCTGCAAATCTTTACAGGAGCAGAAAGCCTCATCTTTCTCCCGTGGAACAGCTGATAGTTTCAATCTGCTGACCTTGAGGTTAGCAGCCCCATTCATAACCACTACGCTACTACAGCGCCTTACCTATTATATTGTCGTTGTTGTTTTTGAGGTGAGTTAATAAAATGTTTGGTCAAGTATGTTGTTGTTGTTGTTAAGTACTGTGGAGTCGGTTCCAACTCATAGTGACCCTATACAGGGTTTCTGAGGCTGTAAATCTTTATAGGAGCAGAACGCCTCATCTTTCTCCCATGGAACCGTTGTTAGTTTCGAACTGCCGTCCCTGAGGTTAGCAGCCCGATTCATAACCATTACACTACCAGAGCAAGTATAGAAGGCTAATTTTAAGTTGATAATTTTGTATGGCCCACAAATGATGTTATAAATTTTGGCAACAAAAAGGTTCCCTGTCCCTGCCTTAGATAGTAAGCAGGACTCTTCCTTTAGCAGGAACTGGTCAGAGAACCGTACAATCTTGATCCCCCATTGTTATGCTAGGCAAAGTGACAGGAATTTTAGTTTCCTCTTCTCTTGTCCATGGGGACTGAAGAAACAGTTCTGAGTCCTTTGGTGGGGAAGTCTGAATCCGGGCTTTGGGTTCCATGAGGCCACATTCTAGGAATGAGGTGGTGACACCACCAACAGCCATCTTGAAGGCTGAATCAGTTGAAGACATAGACCTCATTTGTTTTTTTTCAGTGCACGGACCAAAATTCACCAGTTTGAAAGTTGGTGTAGGACACCGGCTAGATGCCCTGTCTTCTGGGGTGCTTGGTAGGTGATATCGTGAGCCTGGAGGTTCAGTGGCATGGGCTTGGCGAAGAATCTGGGTTCTATGATCCTAGCCTGCTTCTTGTTGTTAAGTGCCTTCGATTTGACCCATAGCGACCCTAGCCTGCTTCTCTCCCAACCAATGTTTCCCACCACTATCCTCCTTCCCTGATTCTTGTTCCAGGTCTCTGATCAGTTGGGCAGACTGAGGGGCACAATTGTCCATCTTTATGAGTGATTCTTGTTGTAGTAAGCCCTTTGTACACATTTAATTAAGAAAAACAATCTTATTACTGTTAGGATTTTATAGTGGGAGGATGGGTATAATTTAACTGATAAAGAAAGGTTCCAAGAGCTTAGGTGACTTGTTCTAAGTTACATGACTAGTGCTGCCCCTCATCTAGAGAGGAAAACCCATCATTGCTTCCTTGGGCCACCAAGCACATGATTCTGCTCCTACTGACTAAGTCAGGGTGTCATTGCAGCTGAACACACAAAGGCCTGAATCATGAGCCATCTGTGTCCCCAGGGTCAGGCAGTGGCCACATCCTCCAGCCACAACAATTACAGTCCCCTTGTCTTGCTTCCTGGGGTGCAGGCTGGCAGACATGATCTCAGTCCCTGTCTCTCCTAGGATGAATGGTGGGTTCTTTTCTCCTTTAGCCAGAGGGGTAGACAGACCCCAGGGAAAGGCAGGAAGTGGCCACAATGGCCACTATTTATTAGTCCCATCCTTTATGCCGCTGCTTTCCATGCATTGTCTAACCTTCCAGACACCCACATGGATTCAGACAATATTTTGATCTCCATTTTACTGCTGAAGAGCCTGACGTCCAGGGAAGTAAAGCGGCATACTCAGTCATACAAGTTTGACTGTAAAAATCTGTGTGACTGGGTCAGTGGTTTGCTATTCTACTTAGAAGTCTGAATAAGCTCATTTCATGTGGGTGGGGCATTTTGAAATCTGGATTTTGACTCAGGCCCAGAGGAGCTTGTTTGCATTTTGCTGGTTTTAGCAGCATCAGATGTGGCAGTATTTTTTTGGGAGGAAGTTGCCCCAGGGCAAAGGGAAGGGGAATCTGAAGTGAAATCCGGCTGATGCCTTTCAGTGCTCGGCGTGGGACATGGGTGCAGGCTTCTCTCCGACATGTACGATGCTCATCTCACCAAGGTATGGAGGTCTGGGAGCAGCCCGCTTATCCCTGGGGGTCACTAGCAGGATTCTGTAGTAGAGAAATTTCCACAGGGAATACATTTTTTATGGCCATCTGCTTGGGAGACTGTTAATAGCAGCTACTGGCATTGACTGTATGCTGATGACTCTGAGCCATGTCCTGGACATGAGTTCCCTGTGGAATCCTTACTTGTCTGTGGATCTTATTGTTAATTCCATTTTACAGATGAGACAGCTAAGGCTCAGAGATGGGGCTTCACTTGTCCAGGGTCATGTAGCCCTTAAGAGAGAGCTGGGATTTGGACGTGGATCTGTCCCAACACCAGAGCCTGATCCTGACAGTACATACTCCCTAAGACTGAGAAATTGATCCCACTGTCCAGCTGTCAGAACACTTGATGTCTTGGGCAAGGCCGTAGAATCTGGTTCCAAGCAGCATGTGCATAGCTGCTATCAGAAAACTGCGTTCTGCAGAGGTCTTTGCAGCAGAGATTCTGGAGCCAGATGGAATTCAAAACCCAGCTTCTACCACTCTGCCAGCTGTGTGTCTTACCTTCTAGATTACTAAACATCTTTATGCCTCAGTTTCCTCATTTCTAAAATAGAGATCGTAATAGTTTTTCCCTTATAGGGTTGATTTGAAGATCGAAATTAACTATGTGCTCAGCACAATCCCTGGCACATAGTTAATACCCAAAATGTGTCACTGTGGGGACTCCTGGTATAGCCAGCCCTGAGGGTTAATGCACTAGACTGACTGCAAAGTTGGTTTGAACCACAAGGTTGGCAGTTCAAGTTCACCAGACACTCTACAGAAACCCTATACAGGATTGCTATGAGTCAGAATCTACTAGGCAACACTTAACAGCAAAAACTGTATCACTGTTATCATCTCTGTCATCACAATTGTCATTCCTGTTGTATGTAATTCGCCCCACAGTGAGGAGGGGCTCAATGTTAATCATATTCGGAGAGATGGGGAGATAATGACAAGGTAGCCTGCTTGTCTCTAATGTGGGATTGGCCCCAGGTCACAGAGGAGAACTATGAAGCAGAAAGAAAAGGGAGTTGCCCAAAGGCACAGTAGAGCCAGTTTCCCTTTCCCAGGGGGCCACAGGGTCAGAGGCAGCTGGGGGGGTGGGGGAACTGAGAGTGTCCTTGAGTGCTTCCCTGTGAATACAGCTTCCCTCCCTCTCCAGAGTTGGTACTGAGAGTGGGGAAAGGCTGAATCTTCCCTTTCCTGTCCTCGCAGGATTACACATTGCGTGGCATACTGGGCAGAGCCACAGAAGACTTCTGTGAGAATGGGCGGCTGTTGGAGAAGACGACGTATGGTGAGAGCCCACAGGAGCCGGGGGCCGGGGTCAGGGCCGACTAAGTCTGCATCCTAGTTTGCATTCCTCTGAATTTCTCACTCCCTTCTGGGCCACACTGGCCACCTCTCAATTACTGTCAGACACACTAAGGTGGCCCCTCATTCTTTCTTCCACAAACACCCTGTGCACACCTCCTTGCCTGGCTCAAATGTCCATCTCCCCAGGGAAACTTGCTCCAGCCCCCAGACTAGATGAGGCCCTTACTGGGTGGACTCTCAGAATTGTTGTTGTTAGGTGCCATCAAGTCAATACCGACTTATAGCGACCCTATGTACAACAAAACGAAACACTGCCTGGTCCTGGGCCAACCTCACTATTGTTGCCACACTTGAGCGCATTGATGCTGCAACTTTGCCAATCCATCTTGCTGGAGTTTTCCTCTTTTTCTCTGACCCTCCACCTCACCAAACATGAAATCCTTCTCCAATGACTGGTCCCAATATGTCCGAAGTATGAGAGACGAAGTTTGGCCATCCCGGCCTCCAAGGAGCACTCTGGCTGCACTTCTAACATAGATCTGTTGGTTCTTTTGACAGCTCATGGCACGTTCATAATCTTCCAACACCATAACTCAAAAGCATCAATTCTTCTACAGTCTTCTGTATTCACTGTCCAGCTTTTGCATGCATGTGACATTACTAAAAATACCGTGGTTTGGGTAAGGAACACCTTAGTCCTCAAGCTGACGTCTTTGCTCTTCAACACTTTAAAAAGGTCTTATGCAGCAGATTTGACTCTCAGAATAGTAATGAAAAATTAGTAATTAATACCATCAGTCCTCATTATTGACAAATCCCATATTTGCAAAGTCTTTATTTGTGAATTTGCCACTCACTAAAGTGTATTTGTATCCCCCAAATCAAGCACCGCGGTGCTATAGCAGATAGGTGCATGTATAGGTAAGTGAAAATTTTGAGCTGCGCTGCAGACCTGTATACCCAGCTGAGGTCCAACGACACTGGTTTGGTATTTGCTAAGTCAACATTCAAAGGACTTTAGAGCATCCAGCTACCACAGACAGCAAAGGAGCTTTGGTAGCATAGTGGTTATAAGTTGGGCTGCTAACCTCAAGTTCAGTAGTTCTATACTACCAGTGGTTCTGCGGGAGAAAGATGAAGCTTTTTGCTCCCTTAAAGATTTACAGCCTCGGAAAACATATAGTGTCGCTATGGGTCAGAACCAACTCAGTGGCACTCAACAACAAAAACAAACCACAGATGACAATCAACTGTACCTATCTTCCCTTTATAGATTGTTGCCCATGGGAGGAGGAACTGTGTGGTCCACTGATGTGGTCATACATACATGGTGCTGGACTGGGAATTGTTGTTGTTAGGTGCCATCGAGTCAGTACTGACTCAGCAACCTTATGCACAGCAGAATGAAACACTGTCCGATCCTGGGTCAACCTCACTATTGAGCCCTTTGATGCTGCCACTTTGCCAGTCCATCGTGCTGGGGGTCTTCCTCTTTTTCTCTGACCCTCCACCTTACCAAACATAATATCCTTCTCCAGCGACTGGTCCCTCCTGACAATGTGTATGAAGTATAAGAGACGAAGTTTGGCCATCCTGGCCTCCAAGGAGCACTCTGCACTTCTTCCAGATCTGTTGGTTCTTTTGGTAGTCCATGGAACTTTCAATATTTATCTCCAACACCATAACTCAAAAGCATCAATTCTTCTATGGTCGTCCTTATTCACTGTCCAGATTTCGCATGCATATGAGGTTATTGAAAATTCCATGGCTTGGGTCAGGTACACCTCAATCTTCAAGCTGACATCTTTGCTCTTCAACACTTTAAAAAGGTCTTGTGCAGCAGATTTGCCTAATGCAATGCTTCGTTTGATTTCTTGACTGCTGCTTCCATGACTGTCGATAGTTGATCCAAGAAGAATGAAGTCCTTGACAACTTCAATCTTTCCTCCGTCGATAAGAATATTGTTTATTGGTCCAGTGGTGAGGATTTTTGTTTGCTTTACATTGAGATGCAGTCCATATCGAAGGTTGTGCTCTTTGATCTTCATCAGTAAATATTTCAAGTCTTTACTTTCAGCAAGCAAGGTTGTATCTTCTGCATATCCCAGGTTAATGTCTTCTTCCAATCCTGATGCGATGTTTCTCTTCATATAACCCAGCTTCTTGGATTATTTATTTAGCATACAGGTTGAATAAGTATGGTGAAAGAATACAACCCTGACACATAGCTTGCTTAATTTTAAACCATTTGGTGTTCCCATGCTCTGTTCCAACAACTGCTTCTTGGTCCAGGTACAGATTCCTCATGAGCACAGTTAAGTGGACTGGGACATGTAAGGTACTTAATGAATGTTTGTTGAATGAATAAATGAGGGAATGAGTGGATTATTCTTCCTTTCTCATCCTCATGGTCTCAGACTTTCCGCAGGATTATTGCATTTGCTCATTACCCAGATGTTTTTTGACTACCAGCTGTGTGCTAGGGTCTGGAGAACATAAGGAAAATCACACAGCATCTCCACCTCAGGGAACTCACAGTTTAGCAGGGAGAGGAAACATACACATATATTTTCTGGAAGGGTCGGAGTTGTGGGGATGGTAGAGAGGGTGGAAACATGGCAGTGCAGTACCCTGTTTTGTATTGCTATATGTGGGTCTGTGTCAATATCCAAAAAACATCTAGTGATAACTACTATGTCAAGGTGCCAAAAGTTGAAAAGGAGGGTGGGGATGATCTAAAATTTTTAAGAAGGTGCATGTATGTACCATGGGAAAATAATGTGCAAATGACATGCCAGTCAAGAGACCCAGTCGGGCTCCCTAGAGGAGGCAGCACTTGAGCTAGGCTGTAAATGAGGGCGGCAGGTGCACTTTTAGATGAGATGACAACATGAGTGGTGCCAGACTGAAGGGATGAGGAAGCCTGAGCCCTTCTGGTCCTTTAGTCCCTGCTCCTGCGTCCAGAGTTCTGGCCTTTGAACTATGAGTTGATACCAGCTCCAACTGGCCCTGAGATAGCTTTGCTGTTGGCATCTGTGTACAATACAAGCAGAGCTGCTCCAACCCCTTTTGCACGTGGACAGAAGGCCCCTGACGTGGTAAACGTCAGGCTGGGCTTAGGAAATCTGCCTTAGAATCTTGAGCAAGTCCGATCACCTTGTTGGGACTCCCATCTCCAGAAGATGTTCTTGGAGTCTGTGGATGGCTTCAGCGGGTCTGTGACAAAAGGATCCAGATACTCATAAGATTTGCAGAGAACTCTTAGCTGCCTGCAGGGGGAACCTGGGATAGTGGATGCTTTGGCAACCCATCCAGGTTCCAGGGACAGACTGGCTTGGGGGTAGGGAGTTTGCCCTCAGTGGGCACCTGTATGTGGACAGTCCCTGGTCTTTTTCAGATCACGTGACCAGAGAGAAGCTGGACCGAATTTTAGCCATGATCCAAGGCTCCCATCAGAAGGCCCTGGTGATGTAAGTGGGGCCCTGCCCATACCTCTCAGACAGGGGTTCTTGAGGCATTGGAGAGCTGAGAGAGACCCACAGGCCGCACCTGCCTTAGGACAGGTTCCACAGAGGTTTTTTTTAATTGAAGTTTCCTGCTTAACAAGTAGCCCAACCAGGGGGCTAGGGGAGGGGACCAGCCAGTTGGGGAAGTATATCCACAATGTTCCATTTGTACACAGAACTAAATAGGCAAGAAGTCCCTATTGCGATTAGAAGTAGGTAGGCTGGAAGCGGGGAGATTGAGTGGGGAGTTGGGGTGGACTCATAACGACATTTTATAAGGTTTCCAAGAAGCGGTTGCTAGGTTTGAACTTCCAGCCCTGTTAGCAGTCCAGTGCTTACCCTACAGCACCATTACAGGACTCCAAAAAAAACATATATATATGTATATTCGTTGGTTATGTGCCCTGGAGTCAGTTCCGACCCATAGCGACCCTGTACAGCGTTTCCGAGGCTGTAAATCTTTATGGGAGCAGAAAGCCTCATCTTTCTCTTGCAGAACAGCTGGTAGTTTTGAACTGCTGACCTTAAGGTTTGTAGCAGATTCTTGCTAGGGTGTGGAGAGGACTTGGTCTGTTTCAACCCAAGAGAAATCAGATGAATTAAAAGCAGTTTGGAAAGGCCAAAACTATCAGAGATGGAGGGAGGGAAGGTCTGGAGGCAGAGGGACTGTTCGGCAACTGGAATAAAGGGATTGCCCTCCTACTGTTGGGTTCTTCCCCTAGCTTCTCTGGTTTGGAAGAAAGGGGATAACTTACAGCTCTCACAGGCAGGCACATAATTCACATGCAGATACCAACCCACCCATTCCTCCCACAGCACACAGAATTATTTATGGGTGCCAGGTCTTCTGCCAACTACTGGAGAGGCTAGGGGAACAAGGTACCCCAGCTGTCCACCTAAGGAGTCTGAGCTAATGAAGGGGAATCACTTGTCTGGGTCAACACAGCAGTTTTAGGGAGAAGATGGGTGGGAGTGTGGCTAGTTTTTAGGAACTTGGGCTTTGGAGCCAGTCTGCCTGGGGCTCCTGACTCTACCAGGGACCAACACAAACCTGCTGTGAGTGTTTTATTGTTGGCTGAATCACCTTCTTGAACCCCAGGTACTCCAACCTTGACCTGAAGACCCATGAAGCCTATGAGATGGCTGTGAGAGGCTTGATTCGGCCCATGAACAAGTCCCCAATGCTGATAACCGGCATCCGATGCCTCCACTTTGCACCTCCAGAATTCCTCTTAGGTAGGGTGCTATAGGAAGTTGTAGTGCTGAGATGGGGTTCCTGGGTTAGGAGAGTCATTGTAGAAAAGGCTGCCCTTTGGTTTGACCACAGCAGCACACACCAGTCTCATCTCTGCTAGCAAAGGCATCAGAAGCTGACTTGTGTCCCAGTGCTGGGCCGGGACTTGGTCAATCACAGAGCACACAGAACAAATGCTCTCCTATCTCCTGCCTAGTCACCCTTTGAAGCCAGACAATAAGCAGCAGAGGTTATGCTTAGCAGCTTGTTTCAAGGACTACCCAGTGTTTTTAAGTTGTTGTGAGTCCGTCAGACTACATCCTCACCTCCCCAATCCTACCTCAGTCAGTCCCGCATTATCTTTTTGTTCATTTGTCTTTTTCCCCTAACCCTTTTCTTTCCCACTGATCATATTAACAAGAACACCCTTTCTTGAGCACTGACCAGTGCTCTGCACATTGTGTGAATTCACAACCACTCCATTTTGCAGATGGGAAAGCCAAGTCTTAAGAGCAGGTCTTCTCTCAAACTGTTCCCTGCCATGAATCATCTGGGGGTCTTCTTAAAAGACAGCAAGTCTGGGTGGGGCCTGAGATTCTTCATGTTTAACATGATTTCATGTGACACCAGAGCTGCACTTTGAATAGCAAACCTGTCTAAGGTTCTTAAACAGACAGGCAGTATATCCAAGGGGTGTGGGCACCAGAGACTGCTGATGATCATCGTGTCTTATTGTGTTTCTGGCAGAGGTTCAGTGCATGCACGAGACACAGAAGCAGCTACGAAGACTGGTGCATGAAATTGGCCTGGAACTAAAGACCACAGCAGTCTGTTCCCAAGTACGGCGCACACGTGACAGCTTCTTTACACTGGACGATGCCCTGCTGAGAACTCAGTGGCACCTACACAGCATCCAGGATGCTATTCAGGCTGCAGCCCCCCGGGTAGCAGCAGAGCTGAAGAGCTTGAGGCCAGTGCTGGGCAGCCAGCAGCTCCCAGATACAGGCCAGCCCTGGGACTCTGCAAGACCAAACTCTACCTGGAAGCTGGAGAGCTATGAGGGACAGTGAGAGAAGAGGGAGCTGGTGAGGTAGGGGGTGGCAGAGGATAAGACCTGTTTGTGAACCAGAACTGATGGCTGTGCAGAAAGTCAGTGAGAAAAGAGGAAGCCTTTCTACGTGTGACACGGACTCTGAAGCTGTAAGTGAAAGACTGGCAGACTTGACCCACCTGGGAACTTAAAAACTTCCTCAGCCAAGTGACAGAAGTCCTGATTCAGGTAGTGTGTATCTTTGATGTGATATGAAGAAATGGAACTTTGTTATTGTTGGGTGCCGTTGAGTCGGTTCTGATCCATGGTGACCCTGTGTAGGGTTTCTGAGGAGCCCCCTCGGCTGGTAAGCTTGAACAGCTGGCCTTGTGGTTCAAACTGACATTGCAGTCCAGCATGTTAACCCCACAGCGCAACAACAGGACTCACCCATAACTCCAGCCTAATCATGAGAAAAACAGACAAATTCCAGTAGTAGACATCTTTAGTCTACATGATCACTGTAATACTCAAACTGTCAAGATCATCAAAACCAAGCAAAGTCTGAGGAGACATGGTGACTAGCTCTAATGGGGCCTGAATGGGATCCCGGATAAGAAAAGGACAGTCAGTAAAACAGGATATCCGAATAAAGTGTGGATTTCAGCTACTAATAATGTATGCGTTGTTATTGTTGTTAGATGCTGTGGACTCAGTGATTCATAGGGACTCCATGTGGCACAGTGGAACTGCACCATAGATTTTCTAGGCTGTAATCTTTATGGGAGCAGATTGCCAGGTCTTACCCCACAGAACTGCTGGCTGGGTTAGAACCGCCAACTTTGTAGTTAGCAGCTGAGTTCTTAACCAGTGTGCCAACAGGGCGCAATTGTAGCAATGTAGCAAATGTATCATACCAATGTAAGATATTAATAATAGGAGAAACTTGATATAAGCATGGGAACTTTACTATTGTCTCAATTTTTTGTAAATCTAAAACTGTTCTAAGAACTAAAGTCTGTTGGAGGAAAAGAAAAAAGCTTCTGGGGAGATGTCTGAACACCCAGATTCTAGCCCCAGCCCTTGGATTCTACTCAGGTCTGGAGTGCAGCCCTGGCCTGAGGACTTTAAGAAACAGGGTCCCATAGAAGCCAACTTGGGACTGTCATTCCCTTCTGGGCTTCAGAATGGCGATTTGAGAAGCCACTTAAGAAGAGAGTAGCCTTCTGGGGGGAAGGGGTTAAACATCCACCTGGTGTGGTCAGTGCTTCCCAGAGCTCTCTTGTTCAGTGGGAGGCAGATAGATGGCTGGTGGACTGACTAGAAAATTCCCAGTGGACAGGACAGACTCCTTACCATGCCATCACCACTTCCATTGAAACAAGCAGAGCCAGACTCTTTACCTGCTTAGGTATAATCCTGTGATTAATAAATGTCCCTCTAGGAACTCTTTAGGAGTCCTGGTGTGGCACTGTGGGTTAACGCACTGGACTACAAAGTTGGTTTGAGCCACAAGGTCAGTGGTTCAAGCTCACTAGCTGGTCCTCAGAAATCCTATACAGGGTCACTATGGGTCAGAACTGACTCGATGGCACTTAATAACAGGAATTCTTTGGTGGGCATGCTATGGGGCAGAGTTGCTCATAGCATTCTGTGATGCTAGGCTGGGCTGGGTAATCTAGCTGTTCCATTCTAGGGCTTTGACCAAGAAGCTCTTCTTTTTCCCAAATAAGAATTTGAGCTTCATTTGATAGTGCTCAACAGCAAAAATACACTTTCAAATACAGAATCTTACTGGCACTTCGGTTCTAAAAGTAAGAAAAGTATCTCTCAGAAGCCTGTAGAAGGATGGGTGTTACGTACTTGACTCACTAGGTCCATGCTTGGATGTCTTGGATAGGGACGTCTCTTGTCTTCTTTTTAATTTAGGAATGTGATAATGTGCTCCCTGTTACGGCTAAGATGGTCCAAGGGGCACTGACACTGACTACCTGGGTTTGAATCCTAGCCCTGCCTGTTCCTCAGTGTGACAACTTGGATAAGTGATTTCATATTGATGAGCCTTGATTTCCCCACCTATCAAATCAGGGAATAATAGTGCCTGTCCCATAGAAGTGATAGGACAAGACCAAGATCACCATGCGAATGCCAGGCCCTGGAATAAGAGCTATTAAAGCACCTTACCTCATGGTACGAATTGGGCTGCGAACCGCAAGGTCAGCCGTTTGAAACTACCAGCTATTCCGCAGGAGAAAGATTAGGCTCTCTGCTCCCGTAAAGATGTACAGCCTTGGAAACCCTGTACAGAGTCGCTATGAGTTGGAACCGACTCCACGGCACATAATCACCATCTCATTATGTAGTTAGTCCTCATTAATGCTCAGACAGACCTAGGGCTTAGGTCCTGTGGCTATCTCTATTTTACAGATGAGGAAACTAAGGCATGAAAAGAGTAAATGACAAGCTCAAGGATGCCTACCAAGGGAGTACAGAGCCAAAGATCAAATCTGGGCCATTCATAACTCCTAACCCCTGGGACAGCCTGCCTCTCTGCTAGAACCCTTGCTGCTTTTGTGATGCTTGTTACTAATATTAGTATTGATAATACAGTTGTGCTTCCTCAAAAAAAAAATCCATCATTTGTTAATGAGTTGGTATATAGCATTTCTGTGAGGTCGCTAGCTTGTTAAGTTTTAGGTTATAAATTCCAAAGGGGGTGAGGAAGGTGGGCAGCTTGTCCTGTTTACCATAGAATCCCCAGCACCTAGCCCCAAGCCTAGCACACAGTAGGTGCTCAGTAAATATTTAAGAATTGAATGTCTATGTTCATTTGTAAATATGTGCTGAATGAATAGTAATCGAAGTGGTTATTGTCTTTTCCACTTTTAAATATAGTTTTACTTAAAGATATTACATTTTCCACTTAAAATGCAGTGCTAAGAAAGTGTATAGTTACTTCCTCCCCTGTGCACATATTCCATATTTAAGTATTAAGAATGTCCAGAAATTCAGTGTTTAGTAGTGGTGGTGGTTATGTGCTGTGGAATCGGTTCCTATTCATAGTGACCCCATTTAGTGTTTCTGAGGCTGTAAATCTTTTACAAGAATAGGAAGCCTCATTTTGCTCCTGCAGAACTGCTGGTAGTTTCGAACTGCTGACCTTGAGATCAGCATCCTAACTTGTAACCACTACGCTAGTAGACCCTTTTAACTTTTAAAACTGCCACTGAATGGGCTACAAATTTGAGTGCTTCATTGTTTGTTTTTTACTGTGGCAAAAGCGAAAGTATCTGTGCTCCAAGATGGGTTAATCAACCTCTTCAATGGTTCAATGCTCGATCCAGAAGAAGTACCACCAGATAGAGGGGCTTCACCACCAGGGAAGCCCCCAGGCACTACTCCAGGCATGCCTCCTGCCTGTGGTTACCTGGTTTCAGACTTTCTCTAGCTCTTTCTGCTCATGTTTAAATTCCTCTTTCTCTGCTGTCTGATTCTCACCAAGCCATTTCATTATGCTTGTCAAGAATCTCCTGTTTGTTCGCATCATTGATCTCCCCTTGAAGTTGTTCATCTTCAACTGTTGATTTCATGTTAAATGCTTTCTTAGCAGGCACCTTGTCCCTTTATTTTTCATCTGCAGCTTTGTACTTCTCAGCTACTTGGACCATATGTTCAATGTCTTCTTTACTCCAGCAGCCTTTGTCATTAGTGATGGCAATCTTGTTCCTTTTCCAGTACTCATCCACAGAAGAGACAATGAAGATGTCCTTGACATCAGTCTGAGGAGTGTCACGGTGCAGGAGGTATGTCAGTGAATTCAAACTTGCCAAACAGATTGTTATCCTTGGTCTTGGCAGCTTACTTTCATGAACATGACTGAGTATACCTGGTTGGCAGTAAGTTGTGAAGATCTGCATCAGCATGGTGGGAATGATAGTATTGTGTTTGATGGGGCAGTCATGACTTCACCAGCAATTTCAATAACGAAGAAAAGAGGACTGATACTTAAGACTGCAAATCTTGAACATTTTCACGTCTGTCTACAAATAAGATGGCTGCCTGGACAGTTGCATCATAGCAACAGCCTTGTTGGGGCTGATACTCTTGTTCAGTTCTTTTCCATTGAAGAAATCCTGAAGAAGTTTTTGAATCTTGGGAATATAGGTGAAACTACCTACCAGGGCAGTATCATAGATCTGTGACTTTCCTAGCTTGGCATCCTATGGACTTTCTCCACATGGTCCAGGTACTGCAGATCGAGTCAGCATTCAGTTCTTCAAACTGGGCATGAATAATGGAGGTATAGAAGTTGATGCCTTCATTACAGAGAATCAATCTCAATCCTGGCCTGGATGCTGGAATAGAAAATGCACTTAGCCTGTTCACAAGCTGTGTGGTTATGATGGACAGCCCTCTGGTTCTCACTGATATTCTTATGCTTTCACTGGCACTCAGCAGTACAGTGGTTGACTATTTGGCTGTCAAAGTCTTCTCCACCTAAGTGGGTATCTCCAGCTGTAGATTTGATCTTAAAGATTCCATATTTAGTAGTGAGGAGTGACACATAAAATGCTATCTCCTAAGACAAAGTTCAGCACATTTCTTTCAACATCAACCTTTTTCCTAAGCCATAAGCAATAGAAGCAGCAGTTGGTGCTATAATGATTTTAAAGTACACCAAGGCTGGCAATGACTCCAGCCTCTTTAGTAGACTGACACTGTGATAAGTCTTCCCAAGATAAGCTTCTGCAGTTTCCTTCATCTGTGTCAGAACCACAGATGAGACTTCCTCTGGATAGAAATGTTTGATCTCTCCCTTGTATTCTACTTGGACCTTGGGCCTGCCTGCATCATTCATCACCATGAAAGGCCAGTGTACTTCATATCAGACTGAAAAACAGCACCATCAAATCTTTGTTCATTTTGACATTTGACCGTAAAACCAGTGTTAGATTCCTTGCAACTTAATTCTTTGTGACATCACTGATCAATTGTCCGGTGTCAGTAAAAGTGACATAGCTTGGGATGGTTCAGTTACCT